TGGAGATAAAAGAGCCAGGTAGCTTCTCAAAGGTGCAAGATTTAGGACAGTGGATTTTAAAAAGAAAAAGGATCCTTGGAAAGCAAAAGGCTATTCCAAGCACAAGGGGAACGGGAACAGAAAGGCCCAGCAACAAAAGACAAAGGAAGTAATTAAAACAAATTTTGCAAAGCTGTGTGTGTAGTCCAGCACAGACAGATTCTGTGCAAGAGCAAGCAAGGAAGATGATGTAAGCTCTAGATGAAGGATTAAGTTTCAGGATGTTCATTCAGTGGCATTGTTCTTTATTTTCCTGTTGTTCTGGCCCTCGTTAGCCTCCAAGCCACCACTGCATGGGGTCTGCATACTAGTGTGTAACAAAGGGACGTGTAGTCCCCCATAGAGCTAGTTGTCTAGCAGATGGCATATGCTCCTTTCACAGTAACTTCAGAACATTCAACTGGGCTGTGCATGTACATCTAGAAACTAAAAAAGCACAATATTGAATGTATTTCTGGGTAGTATAGAGCATGTCCCCTTCCAGCCCATTGCATCTTCATCTAGCAATGCTATTTGCTACATTTTAAAATTATTAACAACAGTGAAAGTACTAAAGGTTCCAAGTTGCAGGGTGTGCAGGTTCCTATGTCTCAGCCTCATGAGCAGTACTACACTGCGACAGTGGCTTTGCAAAAATTTTCAGTTGTGCATAGATTGGTAAAAACTCCATCATTGATGCTCTTTTAGCATTTCAAAGGGATAGTGAAGTTTGGGAAATCAAAACGTAAGATAAGAAAGGTGAAAAGTTACTTGGATTAGGTTATTGGGCATGTTCATTTAGGGAGGAAAATAGCTACCTTGGGTTTTGTGTAGAGCAGAGTTCTACTTTCACATTCATCTTCTTCAATACTGCTCAATTTGGTAAAGCAGCACAGGGTTCACATGAGGGCAGAATTTGTCTTGCCAAGTTCAGCTACAACTCAATTCTATTTGTCCATGAATAGTGGCCATTATGAGAGTTTGGCTGATTGTTTAAGGCGGCATCTTGTCTCCTGAACAGATCTCCAACAAATGGGTCTTGCACAAGATTGATTCTTTTAAGCTAAGTAACCCTGGTGCACTGGAAAAATTCAGCCAGGTGTTATGAATATTGTCCCATGTCAAAAGGGAAAAAGAACAACTTCAAAGAATACCACATGACTGCGTTGTAGCTCAGCGTCCTTCACAGTGACCTACAGCAGTTGTGTTGTCTTCAAGATTCTTCTTGATTCCCTGTTAGGCTCCAAAGTTTGGCTCTAGTTGGAGAATACAATTTAAGGTGAAAAGCATGTCTTGATAATACTCAAAATCTAACAAAGGTGGAGGCATTTATTCCATTTGTTTTTATTTTATTTTTTCTTTGAATTACTCTTTTCTTAAAAGATTTACTTAAGTTCTTATTTTAAAATAAATCATATTCCATGCAAAGAAATAAGAACCATAAGGAGGGTAATTATAATAGTATTTTAAATAAATCGCTACCATTTCTTTGCCAAAAAAAAATCCCTGTGTTCACATATTTTGTTTTTCCAAGCTCTAAAATTTTTTCTGCAATTTACTAATGTTAAAAAGACAGAATAAGCTACTGATATATTTCCAGATCAAATGTTTCTATTTTCTAACAATAAATTTGGCTACCCTCTGATAGCAATGACTTGTTTGAAAACCTAAAAATCTTTAGATGTTGTTAATTGCTCAGAAAATGTGAAATTAATCTTTTGAACGAGAACATTTGCAAATTGAAAATGTCTTACATTTAGAATTTGTAATGCTGGCTTTCCAAATACGCCTTTAATATTCAAAACAGTTTTATCAATTAAGCAAAACCTAGAGGTAGATTTGAATTCCCTCTCACTTTTATTGCTGGCCCTAGTGCACAAATCAGAGAGGATGTATTTCTAATACAAGAATGTTCTGCAAACCAGTAAATCTGGGATTATCTCTTTGGACTGATTATGTCAAAGCTCTTTAGCCACAACACTTTTGGAGAGCTAAAAATAAATAGCAGGGGGGTTTATACATTTGTTCTGTACCTGAATAATCTGTGCGTATTGTGTGAGCCTGTCCACAATGTGAGACAAGGTATCTGGACTTAATGTTTATTTATAAGAGTTCTTTTCCTAGTAAGGATTTTCACAAAGGGTTTAAAACAAACTGTCCTACTAGAAGCATTCATGGGATTAAGTCACGTACAAGTTTAAAAGAACTGAGTTCAAATCGGAAGCATTTACAGCAGATTGACTAATAGAGTAAAATTTGGCCCCATATATTTTGAAAATGGATAAAAACTATTTCTTTCTTACCAGTGATTAATCAATATTATGCCATTGAATATAGAAAATTGTAATCCTGATTTCAGTTCCACTCTTCTCACTATTAAAGGTCAGGAGAGTTTTTGCATTTATTTGTATGAGAACAAAAGTTCTTACAGTGGTTAGCAGAAAGACAGGTATGCTATCATTTGCCTTCTGGTCCTAAAGTATGTAGGAGGAAAATCCTCCAAAGAATAAACACTTAACAAAGAAATTTTTAATTGTTTACATCAAAGACCCGTGAATGCTTTTCCACATAACTTTTCTACTCGTGCAGTTCCTTCCATTTTGCAGGCCTGATACTGCATGCGCATGAGAAAATAGAGCTAAGGATTTAGGTACACAGCAGGTCAAGGCATGATACATGGGGAAGTCAAATGGGAAAAAATAAAATTTAAAAATAATTTTATTCTTACTTAGATTCAGTAATGTATTGCTGAGAAATGGCTTCATAAAAGCAGGCAATATAAACACATAAAATAGTACTGCAGGCAATAAATTTTGCATTGACAGAGCTGAAAGGGATGGAGTCCAATTCATTCAGCTCCCATGATTCCACAGGTATTGGAAGGAGTTCTGTGTCATTATGCAGATAAATGAAATGATATGCTGGGACTTTAATTTAGAGTTATATCTTCAGTATTAAGCCATAATGACTGATTTTTTTAATTAAAAAAAAAATATTGATGGCATTTTCTGACTGTATAGAAAACTGCAGAAAAATCAGCAAAGACGTTTTCCATAGTATATTTACAAATATAAATATGTTCATAATATAAATACAAATACATCTGTTTCCCTGTGTTGTGGAATAATGGGAATGATCTTGATTAAACAGGTTTACTTTTAAAATGGAATTTTATTCACAAATTTCTCATAAAACATTGCATAAGGACTCCATATTCTTTATGTTGGCTGTTATCTGACTTTCTAAAGGAAACATTGGAAACTTTTGGCAAATTGCTCTCACTCCTAGTAAAAATGGTACATTCACTTTTTTAGAATGAAGTGATTGCTGTACTTGAGAATGGTCAGTATCTACTGCGTCATATTTTCTGTAGCTCCGTGATGTTCATTTATACTTCTGATTTCAGTTCTGTGAAATTGATCTCTACGGCTCCAGTAAGGTGATGCGTATTTTTGTAAAATACTCGTGAAGGAATGGAATCTATCCAGTGCTGCTCTGACCAAAAAAGCTTGGTCCTTGCTCAGGCATTGCTTCAGTTGAAGTAGTGGCTAAATTCACGGATTACTAGTTCAGAGATAGGTTAATCTAGTTAATGCAGCTCATGATGTGATTTACATTAGCATCATATTTACCTCTTGGTGAACAGTATTGTTGTCCTCATCATATCCAATGTATTCTGAGCTCAGTATACTCAAATGAAAGGTGTGAATACAAGGTAAGAACATAGAACAATAGTGTTGACTGGGGAATGATCCCCATATCCATTACTCAGTGTAGTGGAACATTGACTTAAATTCCTACTTTAACATATCAGTTTCCATAATCAGATATTCAAGAGAGCATTCTTGAGGGCAGAAAGACAAAATCATGTTGGAGTAGTTCCATCATGATGCTTCATATTTAATTAAACCGGTGCACATGAAAGGTGAGCATAGGCACGGGCTTTAGGTATAGTGTATTTTAGAAGTTGTGAGAAGAGCTGTTTGTCTTTTTATGGTGTATATTGTATGTACAATATTTTTCAGTTCTTGTAATGAACTTAGTTCATAAAATTCATCTTTGCACTGACTTGACTGTAAAAACTGAATTTATTAGCAAGATTTTTTAAGTGAAAAGAAGCTATTTCCTTTACCAAGAACACATTATTCCAGAAGGGAGAAGAGGCTGTGTCTTGCCCACACACAGTATGGCTAGCAGGCATGTCACCACTCATAAGGTGTACAGTGTTCTCACCCACAAACAGTGAGCCTATTCCATTTATCTGTCCTTACTGAGTCTTGATCAGGTTCTTCCCATTCATACTGAATCTTACCAAAAACTATAGCGCCACTTAGACTGCAAGTCAAATGTAGAGTTTGAGCCTTGAAAAGTAGTACTGACTCCCTTTTATTACATGTTTAAAGGCTGTGGAGGCACGTCCAGAATTTGGTCTAGAGGACATGTAAAGAACGTCCTTTTTTGGATTTATTCATTAGCCTTTTTCTGCAAGAAGAGGAATGGCTTAATGATGCTAGAATATTATTTCATGTTCTAACAAACTAAGCATATTTCTATGCTGTGATTCCACATTTAGTCAACTTCCTCTTGACTGCTATGCCTCAGCCTTTAACTGGTATGATGGCAATGTTAATACCTTGCTAGCTTGTTGGAGTTTTGTAAGACTTTGCTAGTCTGGGCTGTACACTGTTGCTGGGTTAATTGACACCAGCTCTCTAATAGGAAATGTCACCACTCTGTATCAGGAGTCTCTTACAAAAGCATTCTCTCTAATGTATTGGGATATGAGACCTTCAGTCCAGGTTCTAGCACCCAGAAGACTCCACATTTTGTTTGTAAAATTTCATAGTTAACAAGAAAAAGAGAATTCTGCATTTGAAAGTGGTGTAATTATCATTACAACTCCAGACTCCATCTGGTACTTCTTGTTTTGAGATTGCTAAACCTCTTTTGGGTTGCTAATAGTATTTTTTGTTTCTTTTTAGCCATGTGACACAGACAACATCATGGATCCATCCTGTAACAAGCGCACTAAGCTTGCTTTGCTCTGAGGATGATGACGATGGAATCAGAGAGCTTCCTGGGTCCAAGAGCTGAGGACATCTGTTGGCAGAAAGTAGTTTGTCTAGTTTTCCTACCTTAGTGAGAAGATGCACACTTTCTAATCTACACACTTTCTAGTCTAATGTAATAGTACCTGATGACGTTTCTCCCCTTCAAGTCAGAGGAAGGTCTGCCAGTCTTTCAGGTGGGTTTGTTGATGCTGCAAAAGATGCAGGCGTTGCAGAAGTCTCCCTTCAGTCCTTTATCTGTCCCAGTTCAGTGTGCAGGGATCAGTCTTATCTTAGCGCCCAATCCAGTCTTTTCATGACTTCTCTACTGGCCTAACTCCACTGACCTAAAGGGGAATTTTCACACCTTTAACCAGCATAAAAGTTAAGGTTGGGCCATTGTTTGTAATTTCACATGGTAAATTCTAGGTAATGGTTGACTGAAAGATGCAAGGTGAGCTTTTTCCTTTCTTTAACTAATGCTAGTGAGCATAATGTAGATACCTTTTCTTTAACTACTGAAAATTTTAATTTTTATGGAAGAAATTTGCAAATAATGGAAATTTAGCAATTTATTACAAGTATTGGAGCCCTGATGACTTTTAAAACAAATACTTACTAGGACTGGAGGTTAGGCTTTAGAAAAATGAGTCTTTGATAAGTTGACAAATAAGAAGAAACAGTTTTGGTAGAGGAGACCATACTCTGTCAACAATATGAGGCAAGAATGAAAATTATTCTACTTTTGTACTCTGCTAAACTGATACATACATGCATCAAATACTTCAGTGGAAGCTGTGAAGTTTCAAGTACAATGAAACCTGTGAAACCACCTCCAGGATCAGCAGAAATCAGTCACCTCCTCAAAGCTGGTCTTTAAGTAGAACAAAATCATTTTGTACACGTTGGTGATGATTTAAGGAGGATAAAGAAAATGACAAGGGGTGCTAATGCAAGCTAATGAACAGATTTTACTGTACCTCAATAGCACAGGATAGTTTAAATCTCATTATTCACAGCACGATGTATGATGTCAGCATTGTCAAATGTATGATTCTATTCTACATTTTTTTCTGGAGGGTCTGTATATGTGTGTGTACATGTATAACATATATGGTAGGTGTTGACTAATGAATGAAAGATCTGGAACTTTGCAGAAGCACTGATGAATATGCCAAAAGAAAACCCTATCTCTGACCTTCAGTCCAAGGAGGAGAACAGGATTGTAACAGTGTGAGGAAGGGACAGGCTGCAGTCTGATTTTTCTGAGTTGCACACTGAAGGAATTCAGAACCTCCCTGGAAAGGTTCAGGCACACTTGTGTGCTCCAGCTCACCTGTATTGGCCGATACAAAGGAGTGAGGCTGTGCAATCATGTTTTTTGAGGTCTGTCTTCATCAGGTGTGGCATTGGATTTAAAAATCCTTGTACCCTGAGGAATGGGTATAAAGACTAATTTGCAGTTCTGGTGCCTGTGCCACACTCTGTCCTTAGCAATACAGAGCTGAGGCACACTGTAGCTGTTGATCCTTTTGAATCAAAAATAATGTATCTTTTTTTTTTTAAATCCAAGTCAAGTCTTCGCTTCTTTGAATAGCAGTGCAGCAATCTACTGCACTTGGCCTGTGAGCTGTAGAGCACATCACCAAATGTTCTTCCTGGAGGAACAAAGTGCAGCTCACAAAAGAGTTTTTTGTAGGCTTTGCTGGAAGTAGATGTCAGGATGTATTAAATAAGCAAATAGGAAAAATTTGGTTTTTACTTTTAACTAGGTCAGAACCAAATTATCCATGAATCTACACAGGTGGTGTGGATTAGGAAGAAGAGCTTGCTCAGCAGACCCACGGTAACTTATATTTCTAAGAAAAGTTCTCATAGCAATAATACATAAATGCTTTAGCTGTACTTTGCTCCAGTGGCTCCTACGTGCTCCACAGCCTCCTTTGTGTTCCCAGAGAACACAATCTGAAGGGACAGAGCTTGTGCTTTGGTTTCAGGGTTGGACACTGTAAAGGCATTTTTATTTAAATCCCTTTTCTGAAAATGGCACAGACTCATGGCCCATAGAGGATATATGATGTTTGGAATTCCTTGCCGTATTTGCTGTAGCCTCAGTAGTCATTTGGATGCTTTATGACATGCTCTTTCAGTTCATGCTTCCATGCTCTCCAGACTGCATATAGATTCCAGTTTTCCAATTCTGTTCAAGAGAGATTTGAACCTCCACTTGACCCTTGCAGTCTTGATTTATTCTGATGGTGACTTTGTGACAGCTCGCTGGGTGTTTCGAATAGGAGAAGCTATTTAGGGACAGAGACTATGGATCAGGCAGGCTGCATGAGGAGAGACTTTCTAGAGAGCAATTTAAAGCTGTCCTTCTGTTAGATCAGCTGGAGGAGGACAGCTACACACATCCTGGGGAGCTGGTAATGATCTCTGGCTCTGAGCAAGCAAGGCACAGCCTGCTGTGCACGAGAAGGGGAGAAATCGAGACAAAATGTTGGCGTTCTGCCCGCTCTGCTTACTGTCTCCACCCACAGCTGAGAACATTTCAGAAACTTGGAGACTATTTCTCCCTCTCTCTCATAAATTTGCCTAGAAATTAAAGATGGTAGAAATAGATCGCTGCATTTATCTAGCTTCTTCTCCAGTAAGCATTACCTCTTCAGATAATCCACTAATTCAAATTCTCCGTTACTGAGACTACATTTTCATACCTACAATCTCCAAATGTTCTCATCTATTTTTGTACACTGGCATACTTGTTTCCTAGGTTATTTCTCTCTATCTCCCTTTGTCTCTTCCTTTCTGCGAAATAGTTTGTGAAATTATTTTGATTAAGCTGCACTGTGTATATTGAGAAAATGGTTCTAAGATAACTTTAAAAGAATTTGTAAAGAGCAGTTGTCAAAATATACAGCACTGTAAACAACTTTTCATTTTTATTCCAGAATAAAAAAAACTAAGTGGAAAAGAAATGAAAGTGCATGTTATATCCTTTAAAATAATGAAAATACATCTTTATGGGAATGGCCATGGCACCATAAGTTATTCCTGTACCTCTAGTATTTTCCACGTGAAGTTGACATTGTGAAAAATACTGTTCTAGTACACACTGGTATTAATCTTTACCTGAGTACTTGCACCACACTGCCTTTCAAATACTACAAGTATCCTACTAAATTTAAAATGGTACATTCTCCCATCAAAGCAAATAGCTTTACACAAATACGTACAGGCATAGTAGATACTCAGCTTTGCAGGCGCTAAATAACTTGTAACACTGCTCAATGTCTCAATAAATTAGATGGTCCTTTTGTCAGCCCCACCAGATAAGTAAAAGCATGCCTACATATGTGAGCTGGCCATTCCATAAACGTCGCTTAAATATTCCCAGAGCGGTCAGGCGTATGTGTTGGTAGGTGCATGGCATATCATGGCTGCATGTAGTTTTCTGCAAGTCTATAGAAAAGATACAGCTATTATGTAAGCAAATACATAAAACCTGTGTAGATTTTAATGATCAGTCGAGTTGGGGGAAACAACAGTTGCTGTTTGCACATGGACTTTTAATGCAAAGCGAGGACCATCCTGGGCACAACTGTATAGCACTAAACCTCTTCTGACACCCATTTCATCTGGAGTCCGAAGGACTGACCTGGGCTTGCAGAGGGTACAGAGTCCACACAGCGAATTTCTCTGTAATTCCCAAGTAGCATTATTTTCAAAGGATGATCCCACTAGGACTTTGTCTAGAAAGCCCCATGTTTAATACCATCCCCTTTAAAACCATCACTGATGCAGGCTACCGTTCCTCTTTGTACTCAAAAACATTTGTGGTGGTGGAAATCTCTTTTGTACTTCAGAGTAGAGGTTTCAGTGATAGGAAGTACTTACTTCTTACTTCAACAGTACAAACCACTTCTTCGTCTACTCGGGCTGTGTTACTGAATCAGCTCTCACTTACTTTCCAGAGCTGTTGTAGGCATGTAATGGGGCAAAACAGTCAGACAAGGAGAGAGAAAGAACAAATCCTAGTTTTCCTGCTCTAACATAAAATTTTTCAGAATTACCAAAATCCAACTTTTAAAGGAAGCTAAAAATGCAGATCAGGCTTCCTACAATTCCTGTGTAGGTCTCTGTGGAGCCTCACCTACTTTACTTAACACTCTCCATGGCTGTAGTTTAAGGAACCGAAGCTAATGGTATCCTAGCTAGAAATCAGTTTGAGGCTCTAGCCTCTCCTATATAAATTAAGGAATAAGAAATTACTTACACTAAAATGAGAAATACAATAAAATAGGGGTAATTCCTGTAACTTATCCTTTTAACAAGCTGGTTTACTTCAGAATATATTTGCTTCGTGGATGCTATCTGTTGGGTGGCTTCATCTGCTCCTCAGATGAAGTGGAGTTGGAGCCACCTCAAGCACCTGCTGCCAGAGACAGCCAGGTTTCAGCACGTGTGTTTTGCTGTGGAAGATAAACCTGACAAGCTGGAGTACTGAGAGACAGGTTCAGCCAAGCAGAGTGTTTAACGCGGGTTAATCTATCCCAGGTAATGTTCACCGTCTATTTAAATGTTTCTCGTGACAGGCTGCTTTAGCAACTTGAAGCAAATGGTTTGGCTGATTTGTTTAACTCTGTTTCTGACACAGGAGGGTGTCTTGTGGCATTAAGTTCAAGCAAGAAAAATCCTTTAAGAAAAATATGGTTGTGGAACAGGCCAGGCTGTGCAGGACTGACAAGTGGGAAGGGCTCTCCTGAAGGTCAGCAAATGCTGTTTTGACTTGGCCTCTGAACTTTTCTGGGAACTGATGGAATTCTTAACACTCAGCTCAAGAGCTACTCAGAAACCTTAATGCTTATTCAAGCACCATATTCAGTGGCCTTTTTGCAAATACTGGACTGAGTGACTTCTGTGTAGTTCTAGCTTAAAGTCAGAGGCCAGCTCAGAAACCATTGTTCACTTCCGTGCTCCTGGTCCTCATGTATTGTCCATCCTGCCCTGTTCTGAGGAGCGTCAGCTTGAGCTTCAGCTGCTGGA